ACTTCAAACTTGAGGCAGATTTGTTTAATTCTCATATAAGGTCAATGAACATGTCTTTGTGAATTATTTTGATTTGAGAAGTATTTTGATTTGAAAACTCTGAATAAAATTTTATCAATTTAAAGAAAAACCATATTAACGTATTTATTTATTTATTTTTTATTCTTTTGATTAGATACATAATTTCGGTTTCCAGAAGATTTGAAAGGGGTTATTTAATTATGTATTATTGTATGATAGTTTAAATAAAATCCACTATTGGATTTTCAATTATAAAATATTTAAATACTGCATATGATCCTTTAAATCAAAATCTAATAAGTTACATCATTTATTACCTTCTCTTCTGTAGTGTTCAAATAATAAACATCAAAATTTCACTAAAGCCTTGTACTCATGTAATCCCAAAACACTTAAAAATAGTCAAATTAAACTTAGCAGATGAAATTACTGAAACAAGAAACAAATCCACGAAGTGAATGAACGACATAATCATAGGAGGAATAATATCTGCAATTGTAATATTAGTAATATTTTTAATAATAATAATATTACTGAATAAAAAGTGCAGAAAACCAATTGGAGTTAATCGACGTAAACCAAAAAATAATAAATAAAAATACGAAACTAAATAACGCGTATAAGCTTTTTGGTTGAAGAAAATTTTATTGTGAATAATATAGAAACCTTTTTTCTTTTGTTTGATAAGTCAATCTCAAATTTCTCTATTTTCCTTTTTATTCTTATTTGTGAATTGGCAACATTAAATCTTTTGTTTTTAAATGATACTAATGTTTTGGATACAAAGTTGATATCTTAATGCTTGTAGAGGTAAAGTTGCACTTGTTAAATGTCCTAAATTATTGACGCTGTCAATTGAAAATTAAATTAGTGATACCGACGATGCTCCTGATAAAAATATAAACCAGTTACGTGAAAGGTTTATATTATTATATTTTTGAAGCTTAGAATAATCGCAAAAACTATCAATATATAAACTGATAACCTTAATAAGGCCTTATTTGCTTGTGAGAAAACGCAACAAACTAGGAAGCGTAAAAAATTTCAGCATTTAACATTTATTATTAATGCTTTGGTTGGGACCTAAAGTTTATGCACAAATATTAATATTAATCATTTCACTTAAGATGCAACAACAATCTGGGGAGCCTCTTATTAAAAGGACCCATTTTGACGATTTTGAAAATTCTTTTTATTTGATTTTTGATAGATATATATTCAATAAAAAAGAATTGCTATAAGTCACAAAAATCAATTATATAATAAAAAGATTCATAAAATAAAATTTTAAATCGAGAATGCTATATCGATATTGATACCATAATTTGTTTTTATTTTACTGATAATGCTGTGTTACTTGTAATCGGCGCACGTACTATTTCGATTTTTCATTTGTATATCGTTATCTTTTGTTGATAAAATTTTAAGATAATCTTTCGCTTTTGTTACACGATATGATTTTTTTCGATTTTTCATTTAACATTAATATTTTTATTTATTATAAGGAAATATACTTCTGCAGTTTTGCAAATTCTGAAATTTGATTGAGAAAAGATTCTTTTTATCTTCTTAAACAACAGTTTTGCTCTTATTTAAAGATAAAAAAATCAATACCTTGTTCTTTAGCTATAATAAAAAAAGTAATTCATTAATAATTTGGTTTTATTTAATTATCTTTATTTAATTATTTAATTTTATTTTTACTAATAAATCTTTTTATTTTGCATTATTAGATTATGGTGAAATTAATGAAAAAATTACCTATTAAAACTATTCTTCTTCTTCTTGTGTCAAAATTAATATTGGCCCAAGGGTAAAGATCTTTTTTTTTTTAATAATACTATTATATAATAGCAGTAATACAAATATTTATAATATCTATAATATTTATAATATACTATTATTTAGCATTTGGCCTACTATACCACCACCAGATTGTTCACCCTGTCCTTGTGGTTGTAAGGTTATTGATAATAGGATTTGTCAATGTGTAATTGAAAATTAATACAAAATAAAAATTTCTTAATTGCATCAAAAAATATATAGAAGTTGTGAACTTTATCAAAGAATTAACCTTATAAAACAATGCATAACGATAAGTATACATTACCAAATAATTTATGATCATGACCTAACTGAGTTTTAATTTGAATAAACATGATTACGTTATAACACACCAAAAATAACAAGAGAAATAAAACCCACAATCATATGAGTTTGTCAGCATATTATCAATTTATTTGTTATTTTTATTTTTAATTAAATTTGTTAGGGATTGAGATAAAAATGATTCGAAGCACAAATGTCAGATAAAGTTTTTACTAATAAAACATAAAAAGTTGACCTAGCAAAAACATTATGAAACAACTTTATTAAAAACTTAACCATATTATTCTTTAAACTAATACCATATCCTATATATGTACACAGTTTTACTGCCAAATACAAAATCATAAACATTGTTAGAATGAAAATATATAATAAATTCGATCTAGTCTTTTTTTTTCTTTATATATTTAGGATTCATTTTTTTACAGTTTTATGTTTAAAAAGGAGCGCAGAAAGGTTCTAAACTTGGCCAAGTACAATTATTGACATCACTACAACACTTCATCCAAGAATCACAACAATGTCTTCCACAGCATATAGCACCAATGTCACAACACGCCACATTTGATCCATCATTACAACATTGTTTGCTAGCGGAACAACATATTGTATTTCCACAACATTTAGTACCAGCGGGGCAGGTATTTATTTTATTAGGGCATATAACAGGAGCTCGTTCGAGTAACTTTGGGAATATATTAGTTTGCGGTTGCGGTAATGCCGATATTAAAAACGGTAAAAAAAATAAAATAAAATTTTTTTTTCCATTAAGGATTCTAAATAAAAAAAAAAATTAAAAAAAATTGATTTTCTCGTGAAAAAAAACTTTAAAAATTGTTTCAAAATATACTTACTACAATTAAAAAAGAGACAAAAGTTTTAAAATAAATTGAAATATTATTTATTTGTGAAAAACCCAAAATTAACGAATTAGTGCATTTAAATAATCGAACTTTGGATATTCTTATATTTTATACTAGCGAATGACATTAAGTAACCATAAAAAGATATGCGTACACTTTACAGACCGTTGCACTTCCAAGGATGCAAACAAATTTTTGTGATATTAGTTTGGTGAGAATATGAGGATTTCGTTTCAACGTGAAAGATTAGGAAACAAAAATAATATTTAATTGTATAATAGGTTTTTATTAAATGGGATCTTTAATTTATTTTTTTTTTAACTTGTCAATTTTCTAAAATACAATATAGCCAATAATGACAAATATTTGGATCATGAGTAGCACGCGCATATGAGGTAGTCGCACCGTATTCAGTATCAATTGCGTTGTACAGTACAAACAATTATCATTACAAAAGAATTCATTATGGGAAAATTCAAGCTATATTTTTAGGAATAGTTCTTAATCCTTCTAGATAATCTAACCATATAAAAGCTTTATTGAGATTAGATTATAAAAAGGCTAAAGATATATCTAATAAGCCCACAGTAGCAAAAAGACAATTTGTAGATTCTTCGTTGCTTTTTTCACCATCCAAAGTTATGAGAGGTAGTATAATTTATTTTCTTGTTTAATTTAAGATTTTATTTTGTTTTAACTGAGATTGATCTATTTAGTCAATATGAATCATCATTCAGTTCGAATTTATATAAAGTGACAAAATATATATGCCATGATGTTTAAATATTCGAACATGACGCTTATAAATTTAAATTTTGTTAACAAAGTACCTTTTTTTTTGTCTTATGAATAATTAGTTATACAGAAAATAAACATAAGTAAAATACACATAATAAAAAATAAATATATTAAAAACCACAAAGATAATTTTATAAATATAATATCGCTATCACTTATAGATAGTGATAAATTAAAATAAATATCTTTTGTATTACGAATTGGAATTACTTTGTTGTTTGCATCTTTAAATAATATTTGAATTTGATACAAATTTTTATTTTCACAATTTGTAGACATTTTGTTTATTTGAGAATTTTGGTTAAAAGTTTGACTGTTATCGTCTTCGTAGCGGTGCGATCCGCTATCCGTTTTCCTATTTAAATTTACGGATATCCGTAAATTTATTTAGTGAAACGGATAACGGATCGCACCTCTACATCTTTGCAATTAATATATCTAAAGATGATAATCATCAATGAATCGATATATTTGTATAAACTAAATTATGAAGATAATCATCAATGAAATAACAATAAAATTGTAAAGATAATAATCATCAAATCTAATTTATTGAAATTATAGTTAAAAAAACTTTAAATATAAATACAATATTTTCGACAATATTTTATTTATGTAAATATATTTGTCTTATATTTAAGCGATGAATTTTTTGCCTTTGCTTTGTGTTTACTTTTTTTTAAATTCGACTTTCGCATTCGATTTGGTTAACTTGACTGGTGAATCATGTTCAACATGTACTAATAATACTGGTAAACTTCATATTCAATCATACTATTCACTTTATTATTTGAAACTAATTAAACTAATTTCAGGTTCTTCATGTATAACAAATCAAACTTCATCTTGTCCAAAATATTACTGTAAGTATTATTTCTTCCGTATTATTTTTAAATATACTTAGTTATTAATAATTATTATTTTAGGTGCTTATTCAGGGTCTTATTATTATTGTGATATGTGCGATTGTCCACTGGCTTCGCCCGGTGGATGTTTACGTGGTTATAATTGTAGCTGTACTAATTGTAATCTTCCATGTACAACTTGTCGAACTAAGTAAATTAATGACGATGTCATAATCATCACATTATTCTTCAATGTAATAACCCCTTTTTTTTTTAAAAAAAAAAGATTTTTTCACTATTAATAAAAAAGCATTCGCCTTTGGCGTTTTAGTAAAACCAATCAACTGTTTCAATAAGACTTTTTTTTTTGTATTAATATTGGCTTGTTCATACTTTTATAATTTAATTTTAGTATAAATTAGGGTAAAGGTGACGATAAATTTTTTTTTGTTAGAACCGAAGGATGGTTTCATAATCAATGTAAACAATTTATTATAGGCTTTAAAAATTTGTGAATTGAATTTGAATAAGTTCACTTTTATTGCTGTATTGTCTTTGTTTTACAATACCTGATACTTAATAATATTACTATGAATTTTTATAAATATCATCTTATCATTATTTGATGATTCATTGATGAGTTATGCCTCACTTATCTGTAAGTCAAATACATGACACCTTCGCAAATACGGCGATCCCACAAAAGCACTTTGTGATTACTATGAAAAACAAATAAAAGTTCTTTCCCGAATCATAAATAAACTGCGCTCACAAAAAATAATCATTCAAAAGGGAAGTCAACATAATTTTAAAATTATTTTGGCGGAAAGCGATCATGAACTTAAGATTAGAATTTTAGATGATGAAAGTGAATATAACTCACAGATTCAAGATTTAATAACGAACTTGATGTGTTAAAAAAGAACTACGCTGATTTAGAGAAACTGTATAAAGATTTACAAAAAAGAAAGGATCAAGAAATGGAAACATTACAACTACACCTAGGGAATTTAGAAAAAAAATTGAGAAGAAAAAGTTTGAGTAAAATCAATATTCTAAACTAAATTTGATTTTCGGGTCAAAAAAACTAATAGTCTTTTGAAATCAAATTTACTATGCTATAGGAATTAAAATTAGTTTATTTTATAATTTTATTCTTTTATTTTATTGGATTTTATTTTTATTATTTTATTTCACGTATATGATAAAGAAAATTTTGACACGATGTCCAGATATATAGTTTAATTAAATATAATGAAAAATCATATAATTTAATCTGAAGGCATATTTTACTACGAAACCAAACACGTCAAAACGGATTAAATCCTTTTCCACGATAATATCTGCTTTTAGATATAGTGAATTTCATATCTAACAAAATTTAAATAACAGCCAAAAATAGAGCAAGTCATCAATACAGTAAATATAAACACAGCTTTATTATAGTTTTTTTTTTTTTTTTTTAATAAGTTAAACTAACTAATCAATTAATAGAAAGCTAATAAACACCATGACAATATGGTAGTACGGCATCAACCATTACAGCATTAAATCCCGTGAGAGATAGTGTATATTATACAAAAATTCTGAAACCTTTCAAGAAAAATAAAGAACACAAAGTATGAGCATGAATGAGATAAATTTCGACTACTGCTCTGTAAAATTCTGAAAACGAGAAATTAAAGAAATTACGCGTGGGATTTTTGGAGGAGGAGGAGGAGGAGGAGGAAGAATCAGTGATTTGCTCATTACTAATCTACAGTACTGTAATACGTTTTACAGTATTAAGATTTATAATCAATGATATGAATATATGAATGTTATGGTTAGTCCATACTGCAGTACTGTAATTTAAATATTGAATCTAATCTACTGTTGCATCCGTTTTATTCTAATGTAACTACAACTTATAGATTTAGCTTTAGATTAATGATGCTGAACAATTGTAATAAAAATTAATAAAAAACATTTTATTTACAGATAACACTAACACAGTAGAAGTAATTTAAAAATTTTTAAATTAAGCTGTTAAATTAATATGAGAATGTCATTATTTCCTAAATTTAAGCATCAATCGATATAGAAAACCGGATATAATTAATCTTTACAAATTTATTAAAAAATTTCTTATAGAGTTTGATATATAAACATAGTAAATTTCTCTATAAGAAATTTTTGTAAATTTTTATTATAGGGTATTTTTTTTTTTTTTTGTTTGTTAAGGTGACCTCTACATCGGTTTTTATTGTATATTTTCTTTAAGCCACGAGTACATTTTTGGAGAGTACAACTAGCCACACATACAACTTTTGGTTGTCTAATTTAAGTAGTCCGCCCGAAGGTTCTACACTAGCTGTCATACCTATAATCTACTAGGAGATTATCTAATTAAACCCTCTGCGCAACATACTAGTAAACCTAATTTCATACTAACCAACTTAGGACTAATTTATCCTCGAGGCAAACCCTGCTAGAAAGGTTCTGTCCCACAACAGAATACCAACCTAGGCTTTAGTAACTTATGCAATTTGCAGCAGACACTTGCAGTTGGGTTACCCATTTAACTGCTACCATTATCTAATACTGCCCTTGTAAAGTTCACACAACCCCAGTACCCACTTCACAGCCAACAATCTCACCAAAAACTTCGATAATACATTGTTACATCAGTGGATGCTTTTGCAAATATATGACGAAGGTTTGAGTTATCAATATATGCTGTAAAATTTTCCTTTTAACATTTTATTATGTAACGACAAATGAAATTACATATTGCAACATATATTAACGATAAAGTTAGAATGGTTGTAACGTCCAGTCGAATCATGAAGTAATATGATATATAAATGAATGCAGGGTATATCATTAGAATGTAGAATAGATCACCGGCAAAATACAAAAAAAGTAATAAGGAGACAAATGAAACGAAAAAACATTTGTAACCAAAAAACATAAAAGTGTAATGAAATATACTATATAAAAAAAGAAAATGTATTAATTTAGATAAGTTGGGATACATAATAAGTAGAAAAAATAAAAATAATCAAAAGAAAATAAAGAATCAGACCGAAAACCTCAGGATGCGCTTTTAATAAAATGTATAGAAACATATGTGAGAAAAAAAACCCATATATGTAAAGTGAAAAAATAGGAGGTCCTATGAAAAAAGAAAAGATACAAAACATGATTACATATTTTACTATAATAATAAAAAGATTTTCGGATAATTGTTCGTCGCCAGGGAGTCCGAATTTCATTACAGTAAAAGAATATACTATATCCAAAAACATGTATATATATTTTAAATTGGTTGTTAACACGTCGAAATTTCCGCGTTTATTAAGTTTTTGTCTTGTATTATTAATGAAACTTTCTTCCTCCCTTATATTAATAGGATATAATTCTACGCCAAAATAAAACAGCACATGGTTTAATCTTATAAGTGCAAGACTTTTAGCAATTTCGTAATTGGATCCTAAAAGATCGGGATAGAAATTTTGAGACATGTTTAATTGTTTTTTCTTTTACAAAGAATTTGAGAGTAGTGCGAGAGCGGATCTTTATATAATGTTTTATTTGATTAATTCCAGATTTGGTTTAATACATAAAGCTATTCATATGCATTATTCATGAAGATATCAAAAACGTAATTTCTGTTTAAAAATTTTTATATTGCCAGGCCAAGACTACCTATTTTATTTAATAACTACAACATTCAATTTATAATAAATGTCAAGCACTCTTTTGATTATTAAATCATCATAATATCTGAAGCATCTATACTTATTACAACCGGTTATAGTTAGTGATGTGCTATTTATAGCATAGTTTCGAAATATTCTGTAATCATTTCGGAATATTTAGGAACTTATAAATATTATAGCGCCTCAGAGCGAACGAATTTGAGCAAAGGTATCTTGACTACTACATGACCAAATCCGATAATTTTTTTTTATTTGAATTCTACGGATCCGTAGAATTCAAATAAATAAAAAATTCATTGAAATTTGTTACATCGACCAATAAGATCACATGATTCTGCAGACCCATGGGACGCATAATCATATGATCACGTATCATATTTTCGCATCTTGATTATAAAAAATTTGTTAAGGGCAGTTGAAGACAGTACAGTAATTAGTTTTATATAGAGGTAGAATCTAAAAGTTTTTGGTATTAAAAAAAAAAACTATAAAAAATCAAAAAATACCCATTTTAACGGTTTTACTAATCGTCTCAAAAATGGGCCTTTTAAATTCGGGCAAATCGTTAAAATTTTAATTTTAATTGTGCCAACATTAAAGATAAAAATTTGGCCGAAATTATTCGCATGATCAAAATTACATGAAATTTTACTTTGATAATTTTCAACCTAATTATTTTCATCATCTTTATACCAATTGGGATTCCAACATCTAGGATCATCATAAGGAAGATATTTCCAACATATGAAACCTTCATCATGATATTTAGGAAAATATAACTTAGAACAAAACGAACATTTAAATTTTTTCACAAATGGTTCCGTTTTCCTATATCTACAATTATAAGAATTATGACTAGTACTTTTACTATAACGTTTAGCTTCATAACATAATTTACACCATTTATAATTTTTATGATAAGTGTTCTCTCATTCCCATTTATTTTTCCAATTATAATATTCATCATCATTACTTTCTTCCACAGTAATACGGCTATTCTCAGGTGGAGACTTCTCTTTCTTATATTCAAATTTCTTCTTATATTCGGGATAAGAACAAGGACATTCATTCTTTTTCTTACAACACCAATTACACATATCGGTACTCAGAGTTTTACCGAAAAATTGCAATTCATAATCTAAAACTATCAAAACAACTATATAGTCTCTCGTTATTATTTTAATACAAGATTTTATTAAATATACTTACAATTCATTGTTATTTCAGTGTAAAACAAAACACTAATACAAGTGTTGAAGTAAACACTTCATTCAACTTCACGAATTTAAATAAATCTTATTTTTTATATCACATGTCCGCACCTAGATCAATTACGACTCATGTTAACTGTTAACCGTTAATTATAACATTATACCTAGTGATGTGCTGCATACAGTACTATACGTACAGTACTGTACGTACTGTACGCTAAAATTTTTGCCGATCACTTTTGCCAGCCAATCAGATGCCGAAAAAGAACTATACGTATAGTACGTACTGTACGTACTGTACGCTAAAATTTTTCAGGTATCATATAAATGGCACATCACTAATTATACCCGTTAAATCCAGCTATAAAAAAAATTATACAATACAATATCAAAGTAAATATAATTATATTAACTAATACGAATATATTATTATATAAATTATTCATCATACGTATTATGATTTATTGGATAAATTAAAATATTAATATTGTATATTTCGAATAATATATAAGTTATGCTTATTTCACAAATATTTGGGATTTTAATTATATAGAGGCCGTGTATTGATTGTGTATATCGATAATTTTTTTATATAAACCGGAATTATCAATAGTCTATTTAACGGCTAACTAAAAAATTATTTATACAACGTATATATCATTGTATTGTAATATATTCTAACACTAAATGCACGTGATGCTTAAAACCACATTAAAATAAATCTTGATATATTGATATTACATATCTTGCTTAAAACATACAAGTGTAAAATATACTGAATATTTGTCAAAAAAAAAACTGATACTATGGCCAATGTTCAGTTAGCTGCCGAATTTGTATAATTAGTATAAAAAATACAAATCATGTGAAATATATAAAAACTATTACAGTAATTTATCATATAACTAAATATTGATTAAAAAAGAATTGGAATATTTTTTATATTTGTTTGTATGTTTTATATTGCTAAATAATAAGTTGACTCAACAATTGAGTCATGATTTATTGTCAAAACTATAAATTTATCGACCGACTCTTGTGTAGTTCAAAATTTTTAAAATAACATCACTTCTAATTACACAAAACGAATAAAACTTAATGTCGCTTGAACAAAGAGATCCTCTATTTCCAGCAAATCAACTAGATTACTTTTATTATTTGAATTTTCCGGATTCTTTGTGGTCATCTCAACTGGCAGATGAATCTTAAATACATAAGAATACTTCTCAAGGTAAGAAATTATAATTGAAATAATAATATCGTATTGACGGCCTAAAATTTATACTCTAATTCTGCCCAAATTTATATTCAAATTCTGCCTAAATTAACCTCTAAATTTGCCAAAATTCATACTCTAAATCTGGCCAATTTATGTTCTAATTTTGCTCAAATTTATATTCTAATTCTGCCAAAATTTATACCCTAATTCTGCCAAATTTATATTCGAATTCTGCCTAAATTAAACTCTAAAATATGCCAAATTTTATACTCCAAATTTATATTCAAATTTATATTAGAATTCTGAACTAGTTTTTTTTTTTTTTAGCTATAATTACGATAGTATAAATTTATTGTTAAGCTAATATAAAACCACTCTAATTTAGAATACTAATTATATATAATTCCAATTCTAATTTTTGCGATTAACCAATTATAAAAAACTCATACAGGGGATCCCCAAAATTCCTGGTCGGAATGCATCAGAATTCAAGTCGGCGAGCTGAAATTAGACGATTTACAAAGAATGAAGTCATAGTAAAATTATTAGCAGAACATTTTTTATTTAATGAATGTCTATAGACTCTGATGCATTCCGACCAGGAATATCGGCCCGAATTTAGGTCGGAATAGGCCGGAATTGATAAATTTTTTCTTTCCCAAATTTTTACCAATAAACTGCAGCAGCCTGTTGTTTTTTTAAGCTTAGCAAGCAAAATTATTTATTGTAAAATTGATTTTAAAAAAAAGTTAATCAAACTATTTCTTTCAATTTCATCGCATATATTTCTTCTTGCTTTTGACTATAGATTTTGTTCATCCTATTAATAATTTTATTAATTAATTAAAGATCAATATCATTACTTATCTAAGGCAAATCTTAAAATTTAAATTTACTTTTTAAAGCATTCCAATTCTGTATTCAAATCGGTGCAAATTGTCTTCAATTGATCTAATTTAGCTTGAAGAGATTTCAATTTTTTTTCTCTTTGTTCTATATATGAGGCAGCTATAAGAAAGATCATTAGATTTAGTAGATTTGGTATTGTATGATTACATAAAAAGCGATTCACCTTTTTTCAATAACTTGGCATTACTCTTTTCAAAGTAATTGGTCGGGAGTTGTTCTTTGAGCATATTAAAGCCCTAAATAATTTGTTTACGTTTTTCTTTCTCTTCTTCTACTTTAATCATTCTAGCTTCATCCAGGTTAATTTTATACTTTTTTTTTTTAACGGGCGTACGATATCTAAATTTGTAGCGGTAAAGTTATGCTAAGATAAATATAATTTCTTTATTAGTTAGTTCAATGAAGCAAGTTGGGTTTTTGCCTTGAAAATGACCTTATAGGACATTATCAAGGTAAGCCCCCGACTAATACCTGCTTGTATCATTAACGTCATTATCGTCAGGAATATAAACTTCGTGTATTTCTTTAGGTGCATCAAAGCTTACGTTTTCTTCATAATAAAGACAAGGCCAAGTTGGATCTACAAATTATTTTTAATTGTTTAATTATCTTATTTTTTATATTGCAATAATGTTCTGTGCATAGTAGCACGTTCTCATCAGGCTTCCAAATATATTTTGTACAGAACACATTCACTAATAAATTATTTCTTGAAAAAAAAAAAAAATACTTGAAAGCTCTATAACAGATTTTCCCTTGGTAGCAATCATTAAAAACTGCATGAAAACAATAATTTCTTTACCTTTGCTTAAGGATTGATCGAAAATTTCAAGTTGCATTTCTCCGATCAATCTTAACAAAAAGGAAGATGAAAATTATTAAAGGTTTTTTCTATAATTTAAAACAATCAACGAAGGATTATTCATGCCTATTCTCGTCATCTCTTGTCATATCACTTGTTATATCATATAGAATAAAATCATTCAAATGAGCATAAGCATCATTAACTGATAAATCTAGAGTGCAGGGAAGAATATGCTAACTTATTGACTTTGTCATGAATTAAAGAATTAAACGCGTTCAAGCTATCACATAAGTCACGTAAACAGAAATAAAAATCATCATATTTATCTGGGCGTGAAATTAAAGTTTTAATGAGGTTATCATTCACTAAATTCATTTCCAATCGATCTTTAAGATATAGGGCAAAGCAATAAACAACACCAATTTATAAAAATTTCGAAAGTTCTGTTTAAAGATCTGCATTATATGATGTGTAATATAAAATAAATAACTGGAAACAAAAACTTGCTTTATAATATATAAGATTCTTATATGTATAACTTATGCTATTAAACAGTATATAAATATATAAAATAGATACAGTATAACTTATCAAGTCAGCCTTGCCAAAATTTAAGTTTCTAACTCGTAAAAATGAATAGTAATCAAGTTGATTCCTTGAATGAAAATGAACCTAACAAAATTGTGGTTTACCTATATTGCATTTTTTGCATTTATACTACCATTGAAAAAAAAACTAGTTTCACAAAAAAATAATATAAAAAGATAAAGGTAATTAACAATGGCAATTTCTTTAAAAAACAAGTTTTAAATATATAGGATCTGCAATAGTTATAATGTATATGAGTGCCGTCCCATCAAGAGAAAACCCACATGCTGTCTTTCACTCATATATTAAAACAATATGATCTGCAATATATTATTTTTAAATAATTATGAGTATATGCTATTTAAATTAAATAATAATATATATAAAATGAAATAATTCTTACCGAATACATATGAAATTTATAAAATAATTAGAAACTTATCAGGTTTGAATTCTAAATTGTAAATATGACTACACAACATTTAAATCAAGAAAATTCTGAACAAGCTATACAAAGCCATTTGCTCAAAGTTTACGGAAGTTTTTGCCTTGTTATTG